GAGACTAAGGAAGAAGACCTCGTGGAGATGGAAAATCCGCCACATTCATGGGTCCTGATGGGTTAGTCGGGCCTGCCTCTAGTTCCCTGATTGGGACAGAAATCAGGCTATGTGTATCAGGTATAGATGAAGGAGACCGAGTCGGAGTTGGTTCCAATCTTTCAACACATATCTTCGTTCTTGCTGGGTTCTGAGTTGCTGGGTTCTGAGCTCTAATAACATTATGTTTCTTGAGGCTCACTCCTGGTAAAGGACTTTTACCTTTACGAGCAGGGAGTGATTTTTTGGTTTTCCTTCTTGGGGCCTTTGAAGTAGTAGCTTGGGCCTCCTCTCTGATTTGGGCTTGTTATTGATGTTGTTATCTATTAAGGCTTGATGGAGACGGGCCCAATCTTTGGGAAATAGAAATTCTTGCCTTATTCTGAGGGACTTGCTCCTGAATCGGAGAAGAAATTAGAGTCATGACTCTTTGCTGTCGAGAAACAACTGATTTTGAACCGTTAAAGCGTAGTGGTTCTTGATTCTGGTCTCCAGCATAATGAACTTCTACATCCTGTAGTCTCTCGGAGTTGCCTCTGGATTCCTGTCTTGTGTCTCCTCTTATATCAGTAAATGGTACAGCGAGTCTCTCAAGAGTCAGGCGTCTATCTTTGGATGTGAGCGAGTCTACTTCAATCCCCTAGGTAATGGGATCCGGTGTTCTGACCCTTTGCCCTTGGACTGGGTTTCGGGCAATTTCTTGGACGGGGGAAGGGTATGGAGAGGTTCTATGTCCTGCCGATCTAGAGCTTCTATAGTCCTCCTCATAGGCCTTCGAATTGCGAGAGTGGAGGGGAGAATCCTCTCTGAATCTCCTACGGGGAGGAGCCAAAATATCCTGATGTGTTCTAGGAGCCACACTTGATTGCTTGGAGGCGGTATGGTGGGACTTGTTGAGATGGTTAGACCAGTCTCTCCCATACCCTATTTGACGGGAGTAGTCATATCTCCCATCGCGATTTAAACCCAATCTAGATAGTGGAGACTGCCTGCGGATTTGTGGGTACTCGGCCCTCTGGTTACGATGGGAGTCGAAGCGACTACTACTGCCTCTAATCTCCCTTCGGGAGTCTTGTCTCCTCTTGTCTGATTCCAGTCTATCCAGGGTACGCTGCTGATTTATCCCATCATGATGGGTAATGTCCTGACCTCTAGCTAGTCTTAGTGGGCAATCTTTTTTCTCGTGGTTGAGTATAAAACAGACGAAGCAATGCTTCTCCAACTTCTCGTATTCCAGCTCCACCGTTATGACTTCTTCGGAGTGTAGTCTAATAGGTAGTTTCATCTCCAAAGAGGCTAAACCATTGATTTCTACTCGGACTCTATCATTGTCCACATCACGACCGGCTAGATGCCTAAGTTCCATCCCAATTGTAAGGAGAGTTTGGTCGGAGCAATGGTGTAGAGGAATACCATGTATTTTTTATCCAGAAGGGGATAATGGCTGGAAAGGCTTCAGAAACTATAGGTTCCCAGCGTTGGATGATGAGCATCCACTTCTTGTAGTGGTAAGGTCCTTTCCTTAGAACAGCGAGTAAATCTTCTTCCTCCTCAAAGCGAAAGATGAACTTTTCTGAACCCAAATCCCGTCCGTGAGTCTTGTTTTCCATGTTCCACAGTTGCGATAAGAACTCCACCACCGCTCTCGGTTTTTGAATGACCGGGTTAGTGACTCTCCCTATGAGCGTGAGTTTGTTAGCAACTATGAGCGCCGAGTTGTCACATTCTGGGATTCTGACCGGCGAGCGTCTTGGTTTAGACCTAGCTCCTGCGGTCCATTTTTCTTTCTCCATTCGAGAGTAACGGTTTGACATCTGCAAGGCCGCAGTAAGGTAATGACGCGAAAAGAAGAGTTTGGCACAAATTAACCAATTTGCAAGAGCAGAGAAGACTCAAAGGGCGAGTAGTGGACTGGTCGGTTGCTGGAGAACTAGGCTGTGCTTCGAGTCCAGTAAGAGTGGAAGATGTAGAAGCCGGCAATGAGCGGTAGAGGTTCCATTGTTTCGACGGGGAAGCATGAAATTTCAAAACAAAGCTATATGGGGATAGCAAACCGGGTAGAAATTCAAAAGAAGTGGTTTGGCAAACCAGAAGCAGCCATTTTTAGTAAAAAACCGGGTTGGTTAAAAGCTAAAAAGGCAAACCATGGGAGCTAAAAAACTACCTAGGGAAAAGTGTCTGGGAGCAAAACCTCTCTCTACTTTCTCTCACAACCCTGAGTCTCATAAAATGTTACACATCAATTAAATTAACCAATCAAAATATTTTAATTAGTTCTATATGCCATGTTGAAAATATCTACATATTTACATTAATTTTAAACATAAATTTACAAATACATCTGTTACTAATTTGAACCCAACTAAAATATAATATTTTAAACGTTATATAAGATAATGTTTTAACTATGAATCATTTACTGATATTAATTACTTTATTAAAATTGTATTTATATCCATTTGGATACCATATGTGATTGACCATACAATTATGTTCTTTTATATCGTTCAATTGTATCCATATTACTCTAATTAAAATTGCGGTTTTGCAATAAACGTACAACTTTACAAATCAAATATTAATATTTGAATTTCGAAAATCATCGTTTTCACTTCTTTTTTTTTGGATTTTTATTTAAGAAAATTTACATACTAACGTGATATTTCTTTTGTGTTTGGTGATCTCAAATAAGTTGTTGAGAGAATCAATAATCTCAAACGTATTCGATTTACATTTAAAAACTTACATTCAGTTTAACTGTCTTAAAGATTAAATTTTGTAAGATAAAATATATTTATATATATGGATGATATACCATTTGATCTTTGTTATTTCTAATTTCTTCCGTATATTATACAAAAATTATGATTTTTTATTTTTAAATATTCTAATCTCGCGTTTGACACGGACCAAAAATCTAGTAGTAAATTAATGTAGAAATCCAATAAAAATAATTCTCTCTCTGTCATTGATTGTGTCTATCTGACCTTTGCACATTGATTACGAGCTCGACTCCAATCAATTTTGACATAAGACTGGGATAAATCTCTTCTCTAAGTTGTAGAATGAGAGGTGTTGGGGTAGCTACAAACTTTTTACCATACAAATAGGACAATGCCATGAAAATATCCCGTGTATAAATCCACAATGTACCTGCGTCATCGTGTGTGCGGGAACATATTAGTAGACTTAAAACTTCAACTTTTTAAAAACTAAGTCTCATCATAGAACAAGGGAGTCCAAATTTGTACCTCCATTAATCGGAGAAAAAGAAGAAAGGAACCAGAACTTTGGTGGTACCGGTTTGCAGCCAGACCAACCATACACTCCCAGAACATGATTAATTCCAAATTTAAGATAACTAGATAGTGACTATTAGGTGATTTTATACACAAAATGTAATGTACCGAAAGCCATGCTTTTCCAATCAAAGGCGTGTAGGTAGCACCACCGTGGTCAAGGATCCATTTACGAGCCTTTCCACAAGGACTTTCTGGATCCTCATGGTTTGCTTCTACCCCGAATATTCGTAGGCAAATGTAGTTGAGGACTGTGCATAACATAAAACTGTGGCTTTCTACATGTAATCCCCAACCACCATCGTCATTCTATATATAGTTATTAATTCTTGATCAATATATAAATACACTTCGATTGTAATGACACAAGTATAAATACGTACCTAATGGTTGTACATGTAACGCATCATCTCTTTCTGATGCTCCCAAGAGAAGATTGTATTCAGATGGCCGATGATGTACAAGCATATTACCTGAGATTAGTTTTTCTTTTTTCATCATCACTTTTTATATAATGTTTTAGATTTTTAAAA